CGTCTCAAAAAAAAAAAAAAAAAAAAAAAAAAAAAAAGAAGAATATTCATTTGCTTCATAATATTTGGTTCTTTTTTTCACCCTCAGGTTGATAATTTAGTTTTTTTATGATTTGTCTTGTGTAGTGTTTTTATCATTTATTATTTTTTGTGATCAACTCAATAATTAACATTAAAAGACTCAATTTGTATCTAAATACATACGTTTTGTATTCCTTTTATAGTTAATTAGGACATTTTATATTATTTAGGTTTTTCACTGCTCTGCCTTTCTTTCTTCTCCTCCACTTTTTTATTTTTTCCATCTGAAGTCTGTGTTTGGGCACCCCTTTACATATTTGTTTCAGACATATGGTTTTGGGTCAAGAAGGTGTACCTCAGTTTGGCAATTACTGTTTCTAAGCACTGACTCAGAGGTGTATGAGTGGGTAGAAGCTCCTACGGTTTTTTGCAAAATGTATCATCCTTGTCACATATAAGTATATTAAAAATCCCTTGGACTGATCCTTAAATAGCCCCATTTAGTAAATTTCAGCAGCAGTAGTACTGTGAACCATTTGGATAAGATTTCCACTCAGTTTTCTAATGTATAATACTGGATTCTAGACCATATGGTTTTAATATGTTGACAAAAAAAGAATCATGTCTTACCAAAGTTCAAATAGATCAAATCCAATGTTTCCTCATTGTCACTAATGGTCTAACACTGTCAAAAAAGTCAATTAATTAGTACAGTAGGCTTTATTCTTTTAAAGCCATCAGGATTTTGCCTCGCTGTACTTTAAACTCTTTTGAATGGTTATTACTGGATTTCTTGATAGTCTGTCATCTAGTGGTTACTGGGGCATCCTAGTTTATCTTGCCAGTTTATAATTCATAGGGCACTTTATATATATATATATATATATATATATATAAAAAACACACTAGTATTTCATTTCACTCCTTAGCAATCATCAGAGTCTTCACAACCAGAAATCCTCCAAATTCATAACAGCCAATCTCCCTGTATCTGCAATGGTTTTAGGTGACTTGTAGACATTATCTCTGAGCCGCCAGTCACTATATCACTCCTCATTCCTTGCTAGTGCTCTCTTTCCAGGTCATGTTACTCATAGCAGCTTTAAAATATACAATGGGAACAAAAGGAGAGTAACGTGAGCACACTTAGTAGATAACAAAGGATCAGAGAAAGTAGGTCCTTGATATTCTCTTTACTTTTTCCCCAGCATATTCCTCTCTAGCCTCTGATAAACCTACCCCAAAGAAAGAAGAGAAAAGCATCATTGGGTTAGGCAGATCCCAAAGTTTTATCTTAGTTCTAGATTTTGAAGTTCTGGATTCAGAACTAACTAGGGCTTAAACATTGGAACAATTTCTCTGTTTAAAATTAAGAATGTCTTTTACCTCCTTCTACTACCTAATAATAACAACATAACTCATGCAATAATAGCTATTATGTACCATTTTATTTAAGCAAGATAAATATTTAATAATATGGGCTCTAAACATATTTGAGCCCTTACTGGCACCAGGCATTATTTCAAAGACTTGATAATCATCTGTTTAAATCTTCTCTGTATCTCTGCTATCACTGTTTTGTGACAGTTTTGCAGTGATAACAACAGAGATGAGGATACTGAGATTAGAAGAAATGAAATAAATTGCTCAAATTCAACAGCAGGACTGTCTAATTACAAAGCTCACCTCCTTTTAATCCCCTTCACTACATCTCTAAAGAATGAGAAAGTCTTAAAAAAATTACATCCTTTTGGCCGGGCACGGTGGCTCAAGCCTGTAATCCCAGCACTTTGGGAGGCTGAGGCGGGTCGATCACGAGGTCAAGAGATCGAGACCATCCTGGTCAGCACGGTGAAACCCCGTCTCTACTAAAACTACAAAAAATTAGCTGGGCATGGTGGCGCGTGCCTGTAATCCCAGCTACTCAGGAGGCTGAGGCAGGAGAATTGCCTGAAGCCAGGAGGCGGAGGTTGCGGTGAGCCGAGATCGCGCCATTGCACTCCAGCCTGGGTAACAAGAGCGAAACTCCGTCCCAAGGAAAAAAAACAAAAACAAAAACAAAAACAAAACAAACAAACAAACAAAAATTACATCCTTTGGAGCAAAGCCACATAGAATCTGAAGCTGTAGAAAATGGTTCTTGTGTTTCTTTTATATACTGCAGTCACACAAGCAGTAGGCATTAGCCTTTTGTAGTTTGTGGCTACACATAATTGCTCTGAAATTCTTTCTTCAAAGAACCAAATAGGTATAAAGATATTCAAAGAAACTTTCTTCATAAGAACCAGATAGGTATAAAGATATTAAAAGTTTACTTTAGGAATTGGTGTTAAAGTGATTACACGCATTTGGGGGAAAGCTGGAATGGCAGTAAAACAATAAAGACTGTTAATTCAATTCAGCGTAGAATCTGAAAACAATTTTTAAACCATAATGCAGAACATATTTAGTCTGTCACCTATTTTATCATTCAACAATTAATTATTAAGTGCCTACTAAATGCCAATCATCACCTAAGTCCTGGGGGAAAATGGATTAAGAAAGCTCCAATAGTTAAGCAAGCTATGTATCTGCTTTTTTCATCTTTAGAGTGATATATTTGCCATTGAGGTACATTTATATGTTATATACATATATATTTAGAATATTATATACACCTACATATGAACATATTTATATATTATGTACATACATAATATAAAATACATATGTGCATTATATTATATATGTATAATATATAAAAATGTATAAATGTATATTTAGAATGTTTGTATTTATATATGCAAATATATATGCATATATTTGGTATTTATATAATTATGATGAAGTATCAGCACTTTTGAATTTTTTTACTACTAGCACTTAAATAACATTGATTACTAAATCAACTTTGCCAAAATCTGTGAAAAGTAATCATTATCATTATTATTTTTAAAAAGGACTTTTCTCTGTCACACAGGCTGGCACAATGCCGGCTCACTGCAGCCTCAATCTCCTGGGTTCAAGCAACCCTCCCAGCTCAGCCTTCCATGCAGTTAGAAATCTAGGTTTGCGCTATGGCCATATTCGGTTAATTTATTTATTTTTTGTAGAGATGGGGTCTTACTATGTTGCCCAGGCTGATCTCAAACTCTATAATTTATAACGTTTAGTTCTAGAAATACAAAAAAAAGGACAAGATACAATAAGGACCAAGATGGGGGTTGCATAGAGTTAAATATTAAGTGTTATAACTAAGCGCACAAATAAGTAGCAAGCCTTTCTTAGACGATTAATGTGGTTGCAGCAGTTTTATAGACGACCAGATTCCTTAGTTTATTTTAGTTGAAAAGTGCAGAATAGGGACAGCCTCATTTCAACATGCATTTCTGAAAATCTAAGCTCATAGTGGCCTTCTTTTTCCCTTGTTTTCATAGGAGATGGTGTAGAGCATGCTTGTCCTTGAAGTCTGGTATCACAGATGTTTTTAATTCCTGAATATTTAGTTCACTCTAGAACGACATGAATTAACTGATTTTCTATGAGTTGTACAAGAATGATTTCATTTTAAACATGTTTGCAATTTGGTGGATGATCTAGCTGTTAGACATGCCTACATAATCTTGTTTCACAGAATATTTTTTTCTGCAGATCCTTCATGTTGTTACTCTGGTAACTAAATCTAATCCCATTGTAATTAAAACATTTATGACCATGTCAGAGGCATGTGAAACAGAACCAATCCATCTTAAATAGGAGCTGGGTAAAATGAGGCTGAAACCTGCTGGGCTGCATTCCCAGATGGTTAAGGCATTCTAAGTCACAGGATAAAATAGGAGGTCGGCACAAAATACAGGTCATACAGACCTTGCTGATACAACAGTTTGCAGTAAAGGATCTGGCCTAAACTCCTCCAAACCAAAATGACAACAAGAATGATCCCTGGTTGTCCTTACTGCCACCCTCCCATCAGCATCATGGCAGTTTACAAATGCCATGGCAACATCAGGGAGTTACCCCATATGGTCTAAAAAGGGGAGGCATTGAGTAATCTACCCTTTGTTTAGCATATCATCAAAACATAACCATAAAAATGGGCAAACAGCAGCCTTCAGGGATGCTCTATGAAGTAGCTGTTCTTCAATTTCTTTATTGAATAAACTTGCTTTCACTTTACACTGCAGACTAACCCTGAGCCCTGAATTCTTTCTTGCACAAGATCCAAGAACTCTCTTTGGGGTCTGGATACAGACCCCTGTCCTGTATCATATTCATGGTGACCACAGAAGGGACTATAGTGCAGAAACCCTGACCCAACAGCTACCTTTGGGTAAGTGTTGGGGTCCTGTAACATCTTTCTGGCAAAATCTTGAAGGGACAATACTTAAGAACTCTCCCCCCACCAACCAACCCAAAGGAAATAGACTGCAGCAGTGATTGGATGACTTTGGGTAAGTGGTGAGGTACCTGTATAAAGAATGGGATTGGGTTAGAGGCCTAACTTAGGGGAGTTGGAGTCTCTCCTAAGACAGAGTGAGTTAGAGGCCCTTCTTAATGAAAGTCAAGGATGCTTGAGTGACCTTGGGTTGGAGGCCTGACTTAGGAGGGTTAGAGTCCCTTCTAAGATTTAGGGGATTAGAGGCCCCTCTCAATAAAATCTCTCTTGGCTAAGAACAGGTTTGGCACTGTGGGATGTTAACTGCTATTCTCTTTGGATTAATGTACGTTGCACTCTTTGCTAACAGCTGTGGGTAATAGGATTAGGCATTTACAGGTTTGTGTGACATGGGGAACATTCTCCTCCCTAAAAGGAGAAACTTGAGAGCTGTTAGGACTGCTGGAGAAGATCCCTGCTCGACTGGCAGCAGCCACCTGAACTTTTCAGTGTTGCTGCCATGGGTGGGTCTTTCTCTGGCCTCCCTGATCATTGTGCCTTTCCGACCCTGCCACAGGCAATGCTTTTCTTTCTCTCCTTTCTCTTTCTTATCTTCTCTATTATTCAGGGTGACCATCTTGCCCAGAGACCACATGTTGAAACTTCTGGTCAGAGGTTGAATTAACCATGAGGGGGCCTAACTAAGGGCAAGTTTAAGCCTTTCAAGTTTAATAGTGGGTGCTAAGAAGAATGGCTAATGTCTATGTTTTGTTACGTGTATTTTGCTCTGGTCAGAACAGAAAAAGATAATTTTCTTTTGTGTAGTGGCTTGGCCCCTAGGGCTGTGTGCAGCCAGCTGGGACACTAGGGCTGCTCAGGAAAAGGAAACTCAGAGGCCTGGTATGCAGGCAAAAGGAAAGACCTTCTTGCCAGTCAGATTTCTGGCTTCTCTCTCTCTCTGTAATCATGTGACCATGGTTTCACTTTTCAAAATGGCAGCCTGGGTTCAGGGTTCAATTTCTGGCCTAGGGTATGATCCTTTATCTTCTGTCTATGTATTTATATGCATTATGTGTGTGATGCTTACATATGAAAGAGCTTTAATTAGTTTAAAAATAATAAGAACTTAAATCAAGTATTTTATCAGAAAATTTAAAAGTATAATGCCTTTTAGTTCATGTGACTTAAGTAATCTTTGGGAACTAAAGACAGTTTAAAATTATTGGGAAAATAAAGACATTGGTCTAAATTACACAGGTCGGATATTAAGTTTACTAAATGCTTTAAGGTCATAAACTGCTTCTTAGGCTTTGAAAATTGTTCAATTTACCTACCTTAAAGCCATTAGATTCTAGATAAGGCCTGTGGACACATGTAATTTGCCATGCACCCTAGCTATACAAAGAAGATTATAAAGAAAGAGATTTTATATAAGAAAGAATCTTGTATGATAAATTCTTGTCCTAAAGTAAAATAACTGGTTG